ACATGAGAAATATAAAAGTGTTGGAATGGCCTGTACAAGGAAAATAGATTTAAATACTTAAATGTAATTAACCTTGAGAAAATCTTAACCAGTAAGAATGTTTTGAACATTGTAGGGAAAACAAATTTAAATAAGAATTGTAAACAGGATTTATGACGCGGCAACCAAGATGATAAGATGGAAAAGAAGCATGATCTTGATGTGATTATTATTTGAAGTGTAGAAATTTTAGAATTTTTTAATATTTAATATCTATCAAACTAACAAGAATTATATCAATTCAAGGTTGGCAAAGAGAATATTATTGGAAGAAGAGAAAATCAAGCAAAGCTATTATATGGACTTTGGAATATAGAAACTGATCATTAGTGATTACTTTGCAAATATAAACCCAGACAACATGCTGTTTACCAAATATTAAGGTGTTTATGTTAAAAAAAATCAATAAAATATTTTTTTAAAGTGTAAGATGTTTCAAAACTGTAACAGCTTAACTGTGTTTTTTCAGATAATTTTTTTATTTTTCTACACTTTCAGTAATTGGGAGAAAAACACCTATTTCCCTTCCCCTCTTCCAAAGATTTTATTTCATTTTTTAGCTGCTTCAGATGGAACTTGGTTTCTTGGCCACTGTGATAGAGACCTCTTCCCATGTACATAGTCATAAATATATTGTATGTAAGATTGCTTTACAGAGAAGCTAAAGAGAAAGTCAACTTCCATTAACACATAGAAAAGTAAGCAAGTTGTAAATGAACACTATGTTGTAGATATTTTTACATGTTATTTCTAATGTTTCGTGCACATTACAGCACTTACCAGATTTTTCATAACATATACAATGGGACACAATGACTTAGTGGTTAAAGATGTTGAGTGGGAAAGCTGAAAGCTTGCATGATGGAGTGAGTTCCTGCCTATCTAACAATTCAAAAGCATGCAAATGTGAGTAGATAAATAGGTACCACTTCGGTGGGAAGGTAATAACATCCTTCGGCATATAGTCATGTTGGCCACATGTCCACAGAAATGTCTTCAGACAATGCTGGCTCCTTCAGCTAGAAAACAGAAATAGGCATCACCCCCTTGAGTGGGACATGACTGAACAAAGGAAATCTTTATAATATATTGAGTGGAGGATAGAGTTACAGAACTGATGTTGTACGTACTATGTAGTCTTCAATTTTTTTTTATTAGAGTTCGGTATGCACTGAATCATTAGTGAAGCTGATGGTTTGAAAAAGAAGTCAAATAAGCCAAACCTCAGAAAAGACAGATGAAATTTTGGACCATTTTTTTTTTATAAAGCAAGCCTCTATAAAGCAATTCAAGGTATGAATCTGCTGTAATATTTTCTACATTCATTTTTCCAACAGGCTGAAGAAAAAATATGAAGATACAAAGAAAGTTTTCTGTTAGCATCAGAAAAACAGTGCAGAGAGTCTTAATACTGTGTTCAAATGCCTCTCCTAATTTCCTGAACAATGTCTTCCCACATAGGCCAAAAATAATTTTATATTTTATTCTACTTCACTCTTAGAATTCTTTTTTTGGGGGGGGGCGGAGTCTTGAGGATGGTATGGGTTCCTCAGATTAATATAGGCAATAATATATATTATGCACATCCACGGGACTCTGTCTCCAAGCTGCACAACTTTCTTCGAAAGCAAATTCTTTTCATTTTTTTTAAAGAATAAATATCATACAGATAACTTGGCACATTGTTTTTAAATACCAGAATAAACCTTTCAAGAGAGAAGAAGTGTTAGATTGCTCATGGTATGCTGTGGCTCTAACTGCAAACACAATTCTTTGTTAAATTAAGCTGTAGATTTTTTTTTTATTTCCACTATGGTCTGGTTTATAAACGTATGTAACAGGTTGTGATAGAACTCAATTAAAATCTAACAGAGGATTTCACACATTTTAACTATTAATTGTGATATTATTGTGATGCATGCTTCCTGCACAAGATGTTGTTATTAGATGATAATTTAATCATTTGTGGTACCATCATACTATCGTTTGTGGTATCTTTGAGCAGAAGTTGTCCTAAACCACATGTTGTGATCCTTGTCCTGCTGTGTCTTGCCTTACTGGTGGCAGCATCACAATTTACCACATAACCTGACAACTACTCAATTGTTCTAAAGAGACCATTTTGAAAGGATGTACAGGTAGCCCTCAACTTACAATGGTGACCGTTCAAAGTTACAACACCACTGAAAAAAGTGAATTATGACCATTTTTTCCCATTTATGACCATTGTAGCATCCCTGTGGTCATGTGATTTTCATTCAGACACTTGACAACTGACTCACATTATGACGGTTGCAGTGTCCCAGGATCATGAGATCACTTTTTGCAAAGTCAATGAGGAAACCAGATTCACTTTAACTATTGTGTTACTAATTTAACAACTGCAGTGATTCACTTAACAACTGTGACAAGAAAAGTCGTAAAATGGAGCAAAACTCAACACACTTCTCACTTAGCAACATAAATTTTGTGCTCAATTATGGTCGTTGGTTGAGGATTACATATATATAGCCTTTGTTGCATGCATTATTTTAGGGAGCTCTTAAAGCAGCATATAAAAGATATGCCTACCTGAATATGAATCAGAAAGCTGATTATGAGATGGGCATCTATATAAATTGTACTCAAGAAAATAATAAAATATTTACATCTTTCCTAATTACCACCCACTGAATCTAGCTGAAACTGGTAATGTTCCATTAATGATTTTGAAAGATTGGCAAAAGTGTACAGGGAATGTTTGCAGGTTCACCCTATTCTAACAGAGACAAGGAAGCATTGTGGCTGTCTGAGCACTGGATTAAAGAAACCCCCAGAGCTGGCATTGATATTACCCATATTGCTATCTCTGCTCACCATAGCTCAGTCATATATTTACTGTGACATCTTTAAACTGACAATGAGCTAGCAAATAATTCAAACAGATCTATTGTCAGAGAAACTGACAAGTGCTGATTTCTCTTGCCCTATTATCACAAGGACTATTTTTCTTACAATTATTCATATTTTATAACAGTTTATATCATAAAGTTGGTTAAAAATAAATGGGGAATGGCTTTGGAATGTAACAGATAAAGCAACTGTACTGAAGTTAACTGAAAAGTCTTAGGAGGAAAGCTGTGGAAAGCTTTGTCATATTGAATTGAGTCAAATGAGTCAACAGAGCAATTTTTTCAATTTGATTTATTTGATCTGAGTCCTAAAATGTTCCATTGTACATGCACAAGAAAACCAATTTTTCCAAATCAAATCAGAAGATAGAATTGATCCTAATCAGTTCAATTTGATTTTACTTCCTCTATTGAACTGTAATAATGAATTAGAATCAAACTGAAGTGATTTTTTGAAGTGAACCAGTTTAATAAATCAGACTGGGTATGATTTGTACATTTCTGGTTGTAGGTAGGCCCATTATAAAGGGTGAAGATTCTATCTGAATTAAGTGCTTTATTCTGTTTATGTTGAACAATTTTTTATAAAGTGAATTACATACGTTCATCAAATTCTGGTATTCTAAAGAATTCTTTAGGAAGGCAGGTAATAGACAATAAATCTTCCATCTTGTTGTGAGCATCGAAAGGAAAATGAATGTTATGAATCTGTGTTTACTACTGAGGAAGGCTTGATCATTAGTGAGAATATTACAATAAATATATCTACATGGTTGAAGAGTAAATTTAACCATTTAGGAATTGTAGTTTTTAGAGAAAATTTATTTGTCAAGCTCCAAAGAAACTTTATTCTGCTTCAGCTCTAGTTATTTTTTTTTTAGCTTGCCAATAGACCCAGGGGGGAGGAGGGATGAATGGCAAGAGCATTGGCAGCTGTGAGCTGTGAAGTTTTGAAATCAAGGTCATTCCGATTATTTACAAAATAACAAAAATATTTCTCTCATAATAATTGTCTGATGTTTAATTGGGGAATGTGATTTGCACTGTCAGGGGAAAGGGGAGTTTCTATACTTTTAATTTACTGTTCAGGCACCAATTTAACCAGAGCTGATTTTCTATTCATCAGTGCCAATATGCTATACACAGTATAGTTTTGCATTAGAAATTGGAAAGTTTTAGCTTACCTTTCTATGTAATCCAAACCAGTGATTTCTAAACTGTCACTTAGTACAAAAGGAAAAGGTTCGTTTAAAAGGAAAGACACACCTCACTCTGCTGTTTTGGTTGTATTTTCCTAATGGCCTCAGTGGGGACTATAGAATTCAATTAATCAGAAGTTGAAAACTATATAAATGCTTTAGGAAAGAGAAAGCAATGCACTTCTACAACCGTGCTGTGCTTTCACTTCAATTGGCAATTCAGTTACATGAATGAATGCAGCATGATCATCACAGTGTTGCTTGGGTATACAGGAGAATTGTATTGTTATAAAATAAAGTATTATAAAGGAAGTTATGGCTCTCCTTCTCTGCATTTTTACTCATTTAGGTCAAGATGAAATATACATTATAGGAAACATTTGTAAGTTTAAACATGAACTCTGCAAGACTCCTGTGTATCCACTGGATATCAATTCAGTATTGCACATAAGACAAGAACCCAAAAAACATATGTTTGTTCTGTTATCACAATGTTTGTAACAAATATACTATTGTGAGGTGCTGACAATGCCATCGTGTTGAATAAAAACATGAATGATATAACGCAAATGTTAGGTTCTATGAACAAACAATTGGAAATTAATCAATGTTGTTGGGTTTGACAGAGAATATAAAGTGAACACTTGAAAGATATACATAATAATGAAAAACCATAATAAGTACATACTGTTACATTTGAATATCTTGGCAGAAAATTTCCTGGAAATGGGAAATGAATGAAGAAATGTTAAGATATTTAATACTAGTGGAAATAGTACATGACCATTTAAGAAGAATGAAAGTTTATTGAAAGAAATGAAAATTGCCATTTGGTTTATATGTAAGGAAAAACATATATGTAAACTAAACAGTGAGCATTTAAGAAATATATGCGATAAAATAACAAGTACCAACAAAAGAAAACATATGTGGCTCAGGGTTGAATTGTGGAGTCGCTGGTACTCTCTGAGTTTGGTTATTTTCTTGTAGACATTTTATTACCCAACTAGATAACATTTTCTGCTCAAGTATTTCTGAAAACAAAGGACTTACCTGAAATTTTTATTTAGATCCCTCAATATTAATATTTCACATGAACAAAGATCAAATTTAAACTTCCTTAATGCTCCAAACCGATGTTGTTATATTTAGTGGTGGAGCAAACATCTGAATTCTCGAACTAAACATTTGCCAAGGTATAAAAGCTATCAAAGGTTTGTTGAATAGCATTTGTTGAATGGATTCTTTGGAATTCCAAAAAGAAGTAGAAGTCAAAATACAAGCCAACGATAATGTCATAACCTTCATATAAAACCTGCAATTTAGTTAGAGAAAATCTTGGTAGGGAAAGGGTGCAAGGTAGAGAAAAGTATGGTAAAAAGGCTAAACAAAAGATAAACTGTTAACTTTCTACTGTCATATCTCATGCTTTAATTTCTTTACTTAATATACAGTATATCTTTGCATGGTGCCTTCAGATATGCTTCAGATAAAACATATCTGAAGACACCATAAATTCTTAGTTTTACACAGTTAGGAGTGACATATTCATGTTGTAGAAGAAACAGTAATGTGCTTAAAGAGTGTAGAAGCCAAATTATTTTACTAGGAACAAAGATTGACTTTGGCTTAATTTCCCCTAAATGTGATTTGTATTATTGAGGCTATAGCCATTGGACCCTAATCTAGCAGTAAGAATGATTTACAAATAGCCATCTATCCTGGGGAATTCCCAATGGAGCATCTTCATGGATATGAAAATTGAGATCAAGTAAGAACATTCAGAAGTTTTAACCTTATGGTAATTTAATCTTACCATCTAATGCAATGAAGCCAAACCTAAATCAAAAATTTAGTTAAGCAGATGCTGCAAATTTAATGCAAAACCATAAAAACTTGTGCAAGTTTTAAACAATCACCTCCGCATTCCAATATGTAAAAAATACTTTCATTATGTTTATTATAAAAATATAAATGTTTCCACTACAAATCATTTTACATTAGTAATAGGCCATCTATATTTCACAACATAATAAACTAACTGAGTAAGTAATGCTTTGAAATAAATGTTAAAAGTAAATTCAGATTTGTGAGTTCCAATTACATCTATACATCTCGAATTATTGGATTCTAAAGTACAGAAAAGACTATGTTATATGTTAACAGAAATAAATAATACACATAAAACAATATTTTTAAGATACAAAATCAATTATTACATATTATTTGTAATGACTGTGGTTTTTTTAAATTTTTTGATGTAAATAATCAAAGGCAGGTCCTGTACAGGAAGATGGCCACAAAAATTCTATTTCCTCTACTCCACAGTTAAAAATTTTACACTGCTAAGTTTACATATGTACACGGGATAGGGAAAATGGGGGCTATAGAATGCCCTTCAGGAGTACAAAAATTGTAAGAAAGAGAAGACTAAGAGCTTTTTAAAAATCCTCTTAGGAGGAAAAGAAGCAATTCTCCTGAACAAACTACAATACCCATTCCAAGTAATGAGCGTACTCAAAATAATGTTCCCTGGCATTACTAGATACTGTGATAAAATTAAAAATAGCTAAAACTTAAATTTATTTTGAAATTTTGATGAGCTTTTTTTTCTTTTATAGGAACTGAAAGTTGATTGTAAGATAATTTTTCCACATGTTATTGTTGAGAAGCACAATTCTATTATTTTTATTTTACTTTATTTCTTACTGGCTTGAATGTTTGCAATAAGGCATAAAGAATAATTTTTTAAAAGAATGAAGGAATCATTATTAGTATGAAAATATTAGTTTAATCCAATTCAATTTCTTTCAGAACTGTTATGCCCTTTCAAAACATTTTAAGATGTTGTGTACTTTTCAAGGCCAGCAGAATATCATGAAAAATACTAGAGGGATATTAAAATTACAGAATGAGCAAAGACATTCTATGTATAACTAATATTTTGAATGTTACTTTATCCATTTTCAAATATGATTACATACTACGTTAGATATCACAGTTTCTGCAAGTTTTGGATTACATTAAAATAATTGTTGTTAGTTACCATAAAAAAGGATGTTCAGAGAAGGCCAAATAGAGCAAAAGGACGTGAATAAGATGGGAATTCATTTAAATAAAATTTTATAACCATACACATGCTGCCTTGTAATAACATCATTATTTCACATATATTGTGACCAGTAATTTAAAGTGAGAAAATAATGTTTTCCAACAGATAGCTTCTATAGTTACTGATCAAAATATATGGTAGGTAATTATATGTGTATGTGTGTGTGTGTGTGTGTGTGTGTGTATTGTGTATTCCATTGAGAAAGAAAATAGAAGAAATTCTGATTAACAAAACCAGCTAACAAATGGAAGACGATGTTGTTTGGATTGTTTCTACAAAAGAACATCCTTGTCTGGAAGCACCTAAGAGTATCTTTTCTTTTTTTTTAATCCTAGGGCAACATAAGCAAAGAATTCTACTACCAAGTAATCCATCAAACAGTTAAACATCTGATACACTCCAAAACTAGCTGAATACTGCAACGTTTAAGTACATGCAATTAAATAGTTCCCCAAGAATATTCCCCATGTGAAATAAGATTGTTATATGGTTCCATGTTAAAAATGTTGTGCATGAAATTCTCCATATTTGTATAGGATGTATTATAAGTTTGTGAGCATTCTTGTATGCACATCAGTTCTTTTGTAGTGAAATTTTTATTAGGAATAAAATCACATGAGTTTTACTGATCTTTCCCCCCCTTAAATATTGATGACAGCTAAAGTTTGAAGAAATTTGGCATTTGGCAGTCATTAATCCCAGTCAAAACCTATATAAATATAAACAAGAGGAACATTTTTAAAGGAAATAAATATGCATTTTATATATATAAAAAGTTTTGCTTTTAAAGAACACACCCAGGACAAGTATCTGTGAAGTATTGCCTTCATTTTCAACCAATTGTCATTCAGATTTACCATCCACAGTCAAAAACAAAATATTGCAAGGATATCATTGCAGATATGGCTAGACAAGTCTGAGGTATCATCCTCGAATATGCTTACAGGAATTAAAGAAATAAAATGCTACGTGCCTATCCTTTCCGCATATTAAAAAAAATACTGTTTAATGCTGTTGACAGTCATTCCAAACACCGTATTACATCCATTGTTTCTTTTGCCTTTTATGATATTCAGTCTATTAATATTTGAATGGCTTAAGTTACACAGCTTTTTAAACACTTTTTTTTCTTCTTCCAAATGCATTTTATGTTTGAGCAGTCCATTATTACTATAAGGAAGTACCCCTCCTTCAAGAATAAGAGATAGAAAATAAGTTTTTCATTCCTATTTTAAGGCAATTGAACTCAACTTTATGAGTCTTTTAATGGGCTGGAAATTTCACGTTTGTTGCAAATTGCCCCATTTTGTTGCAACAGTGCCTTTTAAGTCTCACAATTTTCCACACATTATCAGGACCTTTTTCAGTAATTTTTCTCACTTTCTCCAGATGGGTCCTGAATGCTGGCATTTTGTAATTTACACAGGAACAGGGCTATTCTTTGTATGTATTTCCAGAGATTTAATACTGCTAATAAGTTTTTTCTGTGGTCCAACAATCGTCACCCCAACTTTCTTCATGTCACTGAAAAGTAATAGCAAAAACAGTTGTCATAAGTTGCTTTGGTTCGTTTTATTTTTAAATAGGAAGCAAGTGACTCACTTTATACACACACACACACACACACACACACAAACACACACACACACTGTAAATAGTGACTACTTTTCTCTGATCTTGCTAAATTTTGAGCTGAAATTTAGGACAGGAGAGGGAAAGAAGCCTATCCAATCTTCTAAAGACTAATCTTGCCAATTCCATTTATACCAACAAATGCATTATAGATAGGTCTAAGTTCTAAAAAACAGCCCTTCTTCTTTTTGGTATAAATGGAATTGGCCATATTTAGCCTTTAGAAGACTGAACATGTCAAATATCTAAAAGGATGCCATCTAGAAAAAGATCAAGACATGTTTCTACTGTTTCAAAGTACAGGATATGGGACAACGGATCTAGGTTATAAGAAGCAATTCTGCAATGAAATCAGTTACCCAGAAAGGTGATTAGCGATTCTGAAATAGGTACGATCAAAGAGAGGCTGGACAGCTGACTATGAGTGATACGTTAAATTGGCTTCCTAAACTAAACAAGAGGTTGGACTTGGTAAGCAAAATAAACCTCTGCAGTCCTAAATATCATAAATTCTTTGAAAGCTGTAGTAACTATAAAGAAATTTCAGGTCTTGCATGATTTGACTGTTATAGTCAAAAAGTATGAGTTAGACAGGAATGGCAGCTACCCTAGATGTCAATAGCAAGTGTGCGTTCTATTATTATGTGGATTTTATAGCACAAGGTTTGCTTATAATAACTATTGGCATGTAGGTGTTTGACTAAAGTGAATGAATTACTCCACTGATACTAGGTTTCAGGTATGAACATTCCTTAATCCTTATGATATCTATGTACCCTAAGTTAGAAGTATGAGATGAACTTTGGTGCTGTAATAAACTACATGGTATTTACAAGATATCAAAGTGAACACAACTATATTGGAAAAAGATATTGAAAATATTCAAAAGTGTTATATTTAAAATAAATTTAAATCCATAACACATCAAATCCATAACTTAAATTAATCACAAGTTTCATACCAGAATTTAATGGTATAATATTCACAAAGACTCCTGGCACCACAGATACGCAAATCCAATGTTATTAGCAGTGTGTAGATTTTTAAGTCACTAAACCTTGAGAGATCTTGGTTTCAATATCCAATTAATAAGGAGTCCCACTGTACATTGATTTGAAGGGCTTGGGGGAAAAGTAAGTGGAGATAGAGGACCAATATAGAATTTACTTATGTCTCTGGTGAAAATGTATAGCTATTACTAGATCACAGAAAAAATATTTTTCAGGTCCACTCTTTCCCTTTATTTTGGGATTTAAGGATGACCAGGATCTTAGAAGATTATTTTCCATTGAGATCCTATCTCCAATTAAACTTTAGCATTAAACATCTATAAAATGTGGACTTCTCAGATACCCTCCTAATTACTAGGAGATTCAGTCTTTATTGAGTAAATGAGAATTGAAAAAAATGTAATAATATATCTTTAATAAAATTCTTACTCTGAGGAAATATTGGCTATTGTATCACATGAACTGTATTCCACTCCTGTGAATATGTCTTTGCATTGCCCTATCCGAATACCACTGAGCCAGTCACCTGTTGAGCGGAAGGGTGAGATTTCAATGCTACTTTGGTCCAGTAGGAGATTTGATGGCCTGGAATAAAACAGAAGTAATAGTAAGGCAACAGAAATAAGCCAAGATTCATCTTCAAGCTATAGTAATTGTTAATTGTTAACAGATGACCTATCTCTATACATGTACACAGCTGTCAAAGCAGAAGATATTTGGTTTTCTATTGGTTCAATGCAAAAAATCAGGAGTTTCAGATTCTTTTGAACAAAAAAATTTCAGCTGGTTAAAATATTGCAATAATAGTTTTGTGCATTATACCAAATTACACCATTGCTCTAGAAGCCATGCTTGTTAACAGTTTATTGCTATATGCAATTCAAGGTATTGTTTATCACCTATAAAGTCTTGTAAAGCTTAGGGCCTGGTATCTTAGAAATAACCTGTACTAATACTCACATAAGCTGTGTCCTATTAGGAGACAATCTGCAAAGATGAATAATTGTTCTTCAGGCCTATACTTGGCTTTCCTATTCCTATTTCCTATTCAAAAATGATTTCAGTATGTTTATTTTTATTTATGATTACTTTTATTAAATTATTTTATGTAACTCTGTCATTTGCATATTTAATACTTTCCTCCTTTCTTTAAATTTACCAAATTTACAATTTGAGGGAGCTCTCTGAAACCTTCATCCAAAACTTTTGTAGATTATAAGCAGATCTGTGGTTATATTTGTTCATTTTTTTAACATGTTTTATTGATTTTTAACATACACCTTAATATTTGGTAAACATCGTGTTGTCCGGGTTAGTGTTTAAAAAACAACCAATAACAATTAATTTCTATAATTCTATAGTCTATATAATAACTTTACTTGATTTCCTGTTCTTCCAATAATATTCTCTTTTTGTTGTTGTTAATTGCGAAGTCGTGTCCTACCCATCGCGACCCCATGGACAACGTTCCTCCAGGTCTTCCTGTCCTCTACCATCTTCTGGAGTCCATTTAAGTTCACACCTACTGCTTCAGTGACTCCATCCAGCCATCTCATTCTCTGTCGTCCCTTCTTCTATTGCCCTCAATCTTTCCCAGCATTAGGCCCTTCTCCAGTGAGTCCTTCCTTCTCATTAGGTGGCCAAAGTATTTGAGTTTCAACTTCAGGATCTGGCCTTCTAAAGAACAGTCAGGGTTGATCTCTTCTAGGACTGACCGGTTTGAACGCCTTGGAATCCAAGGGACTCGCAGGAGTCTTCTCCAGCACCATAGTTCAAAGGCCTCAATTCTTTGACGCTCAGCCTTTCTTATGGTCCATCTTTCACAGCGATACATTGCAACTGGGAAAACCGTGGCCTGGACTATACACACTTTTGTTGGCAGGGTGATGTCTCTGCTTTTTAGTATGCTGTCTAGATTTGCCATAGCTTTCCTCCCCAGGAACAAGCGTCTTTTAATTTCTTGGCTGCAGTCCCCATCTGAGGTGATCTTGGAGCCCAGAAAAATAAAATCTGTCACTACCTCCATTTCTTCCCCATCTATTTGCCAGGAACTGAGAGGGCCGGATACCATGATTTTGGTTTTCTTAATGTTGAGTTTCAAGCCAACTTTTGCACTCTCTTTCTTCACCCGCATCAAGAGGTTCTTTAGTTCCTCTTCACTTTCTGCCATTAGAGTGGTATCATCTGCATGTCTTAGGTTGTTGATATTTCTCCCGGCAATCTTAATTCCAACTTTTGATTCATCTAGCCCTGCCTTTCTCATGATGTGCTCTGCATATAAGTTAAATAGGCAGGGTGACAGTATACAGCCTTGCCGGACTCCTTTTCCAATTTTGAACCAATCAGTGGTTGTGCAATGGTGCAATAGTTTGAACATTCTTTGGCATAATATTCTCTTTAGCCAACCTTAAATTAATACAGTTCTTATTTAAATAAATGACAATTAAATATAAACATTTTTCTCATATTTCTGCAAATAATAACCACATCAGTATAAAGCTTCTTTTCATTGATCATCTTGATTACCTCATCCTAAATCCTGTTTACATTCTTATTTAAATTTGTTTTCCCCACAGTTTTCAAAACATTCTTACTGGTTAAGATTTTCTCAAAATTAGTTACACTTAAGTATTTAAATCTTTTTTCTCATACAAGCCATCACACTTTTACATTTCTCATATCTTAAAAGAAAATAAGAGCCCCCCCCAAAGACAAAACAGAGAAAACATTTCTTTTATATAAACCATCCCAACATTTTTATATTTCTCATGTCAAAAAAAACACCAAACACAAAATAAAAAAGAAAGAAAGCATACTATATTACTCTAGGGGCTTATTCCTCTTAAACTAATCTTCATTTATATTCAAAATCTTTCTATTTCTTTAACTATATTCAAACAAATGCTTAATTTTTAAATACTCCCTCTGATAATTCCAATAATCTAATTTCTTGATTCTCACTTTAGCCAACATCTTTCTTGTTCAATATGCTTCGATGAATCAAAGAGTCTTCCCATAAACTTATAAATGTTATTGCAGGTACAAAAGGCAAAACAGGTAAGATGTTTTTATAGGAAGGTTTCACCCTTCATATTCATTGAAAATCTTTTCTTGTTGTTCTCCTGGCAAAATCCATTTTACCAAATCTTTTTCCTTGTCATCAAACTTATTTTGTAATCTTAACGTATAGTTTGTGTTTTCCATGTCCAGTGTTCCTTGTAGATTGTTTTCCATCTGGGTTAAGTCATATTTTCTAGTATTGTTAAATTCCATTTTGAAATCTCTCTCCTCTGTCTCGTAATCACTTGTCTGTTTTCTCTGCTCTCTCTCTATTTTTAATTCTGAGAATTTTTATGTTGTAAAGTTAAATTGGAGATGTGTTCATTTATGTTTTTAAGGCTATGTTTAATTTCCTTGTGGTTTGAGACTATTGTTGTTTGGATTAGTTGCAACATAGCATAGATCACCTTTTAGAAAGTATTTGTTTTTTCTTGGTATATTCTTTCTGCAGATCTCTGGTTTTCCATGATAGCTAAAAATCAGGGTTTTCCTTTCTCTGCAGATGGCTTTAGAGTCACAGATGAGTTAGTATTTGTAATCCAGAAAGATCAATTCTTTTTTTTTAGAGTTTATAGTTCTCACTTTATAGAAAGCCCAAGGTGTTTCCTTTTTTTAATCACAGCTGTTATTTGTTATTAAGACATTGAAGGTCACCAAGATCAAATTTATTTTTTCCTGGACCTTGCCAGTCTCTGTAGTAGAGCAGCTGTTGTTGTAACATTTTCATCCACCACTAAATGTCAGGACCAGTTCCTCCAGTAATAAACACTTATTTACTTCTGTTTTGATGATATAAAAGGAAAATCTTAACAGATTCCACCAATTTCAAATATACAAATTAAGTCATATTCTTTTTATTTCAATATATTTCTATTCCCCCTGAAAGGTTTAATTTGCTGCTTCCATCTGCAGGACGGTGGGGCAAAAGACTCCCTTCTCCTCACTTTTGGAGGCTTTTTGCTTATTGTTTTTTTCCTCCCAGGAAATCAATTTACAAATAGAAGAGAGAAAATTGCAGTTCCAAATATGTTGTTTACAGTCAGCTTAGAGTAATACTTTTGGACTTTGGTTGCTTGTAGCTTGGGCTAGACTTGGAAGTTGAGCTAGCCTCTTTTCCTGCCGGTTTCTGGACGGCTTTTCCCAAACTGATTGGATCGACTTTCCTCCCTTGTGTGTTGCCTCTATGGGGCAACTTCAGGCCCATCTAGGTTCTCCTGGCAAACAGAAATCAGCCGTAGTGAGCGGATCCCTGCACTACCGCGCAAAATCGGAAGTCTGTATATTTGTTCATTTCTAAAGAGCTGTGCTTTAATGAGATTCCTTAAACATTTTTAATAATATTTGTGTTTTATGGAGGGCACATACTGTAGCATAATTTTCTCTAGCATACTGCCTCCTGTCTCAGATTTTTTCCCAATTATCACATTTTACAAAAAGTTTCAAGTTAATTTTGTTCAAAATTGTGCTCAATATTATAAAATTTCTTAAACAACAACAGCATAAGTGAAAGAAACTCAACATGAATAGATGTTTAGCAATGATGTTGTTGACAGAAGACATAGGTCAGTGTCTGTTTTCATTTTTATTGTCTACGTTTTCCTTATATGGAAGAGTTGTGACACATTCAACAGCCTTGTGTTAAAATCGTTGACTCTAATATGAACTTCTGCCATTCCAGTCAACACGTTGTACTGATACAGGGAGAAATGGTCTCTGAATGACTACTAACATGTTATAGTGGAGATAAAGGACAAGGTTATGCTTTTTTGTATCTCACATGGAACATTCACAAAGTGAAACTTACAGCTCTTTACATAACCTATTATGACACCTCCTAAACACCTGACACTTGAGCCTATCTGCCTCATTTCATCTAATAATAGGGCTGACCTTATCCAAAATTCCATAATTTCTCCCACTGAATGCCCCTTGTCGCTTCACACAGGCACAGAACTATTAAAAAGTATTGGATGGCACAGGAAAGGCTGCATGTATTACACAATAATCAGTGTATTTCATGTTTCTCTTCCTCTTTTAAGGGGAGGAAATTCACTGGGGAATTTGCAGATTATTCTAAACATTATAATTTTGATGATGATAATGATGATTACTATTACTACTACTACTACTACTACTACTACTACTACTATTATTATTATTATTATTATTATTATTATTATTATTATTATTATTATTATTACCAAGGACCTGGGATAAGCAGATCTGGATGTCTGATGGTGTTACAGATATTGTCGCAGGATGGAAGCTGTTCCCAGCAAAGCCGCCTTTTGCAATTGACTGATGGAGAATTTGTCAATGCCAATGGTGTTCAAGTAGTGCCCCAGTTGTTCTGGGATTGCACCTGAGGCACTTATTACTATTGGTACTACCCTTGCTTGCCTTTGCCACAGTCATTCTATTTCTATTTGTAGGTTTTTGTATTTTGTGATATTTTCCAGTTTTTTCTTTTCTATTGTACTGTCTCCAGGCATTGCCATGTTCACTATCCAGATTTTTTTGTCTCT